ATCTTGAGTGGCTTCACTCAAGATCTTGAAATTTCTTAATACAAGATCTTGGCCAAGATCTTGAGTGACAGATTCAAGAATCCAAGATCTTGAAACATCTTGGCTTACGCCACCCAAGATCTTGAAACATCTTGGCTTACGCCACCCAAGATCTTGAAACATCTTACATGCACTCAACGCATAACTGTTGTATAGTCCTGGCTAGTTACATTCGAAATAAATTCACTGTTCAAACATTCCACACAATTTCGTCATTCTAAAACGACTGAGAATTATTTTCTAATTAGTTATCTTTTTAGATGGCAACAAAACAAACATTCGTAGATTATGGCTTGAAAGAAAAGTTATTAATGGGTATTTATGAAAAAGGTTGGAAAAGTCCATTATGCCTTCAAGAGGTAATCAGAAAAATTCCGCATTGAATAATTCTAATGACTATTCTTTTGTTTAGGCGACTATCATGCCCAGTGAGTGAGTTAGAAGGAAATACATAACTGTTTCCACGAATATGATTTCTTTTTAGCATTAGCCGGTCGTGATATTCTTGTTCGTGCTAAAAACGGTAGTGGCAAAACAGGTGTAAGTTGAAAATTTCATAGAACAGAAACTTTTATCCTAAATGTATAAATGATGATTTCCTTACTTCTAGGCGTACGCAATACCAATATTAGAAAACATCGATATCACCAAAGATGATCCACAAGGTATACAAATGCGACACTCAATGGTTTTCATTTTTGACGGGTTGAGCTAGAGAAGATATCTTTATAGGCGTATCTTCAACTAACCTGTCTCATTTCTTATAACAGCGTTGAGCTTTCTATATTCTTGCTTTTTGAGGAACTCGCAAAGAATCTTCTCTCGTAAGATTCTTATGGAATTCTTCATAGATAGTTATATAAGATCTGATCTCTACGATGGATTTTTTATTCTTTTTAGCACTTGTAATTGTTACATATGAACGAGCACTATACGTTGGTCAAACATCCCAACAATTATCAAAACATCTTGGAATAAAAATAATGATAACCAGTGGTACACGTGTAGAAGATTATATTAAACCTGGTAAGCTGAGTCACACGTTAGATGCATCTAATATGAGAGACGTATTTACAAATAGTACCGCAGCTTCCCGTAGAGAAAATACACCGTTTTGATTTTGAAAAGACAATTTGTTCGACTATCACAGTCCAAAAAGGAGTTCAATAATTGTAATGTTTCTTTCTTTTGTTTTAGTACATGTAGTTATTGTAGCTCCAAGTGCTGCTTTACACGATTTAATGGATAAAAGTTTGTTACCTTTTTGTAATATGATCATTTTTGATGGGATAAGAAAAAAACTGGTCCTTCTTCCACAATGAGAAAAAGATTGTTTTCTTGTTTAGGCTCAGGAATTATTAACACAAGATTTTCATGCATCGTATGAAAAATTTTCGCTCTTTCTAAGTATAGACTTATAAATTTTGAGCCAGTTTTTTTGGAGAGCAGTTCACTATTGTGATCCAAAACTAAAAGTTGAAATTTTATTAATGTATCAGGT